AACAGAGACATGCACATGATTATATAGGGGCAGGGGCTCAAGTTTTTTCCAGTCGTTTATACAATATGGAAATTAATGTGAAATTAAAACACAAAGTATTAATAGAAAGGTAATGACTGTCCTGTGTAGGTGACAGTGATATCCAATAGGCTAGGCACTCACGAGGCTGGCTGTGGCAAGTGTAAGTGAAAGCAACACGCACTGGCAGGAAGAACAGCAAACGCCGATGAAGGAAAAGAGTCTTTGCAGTGATGGGCGTTACCAGAGAGGGCGATGGCCAGAGGACACAAATGGGACGGGGAGGCAGCACGTTGGGGGGGGGGGGGGACGCGACACGGCTCGGGCCCGCCAGTGCCCCAACGGGGTCCTAGTTATTTTTCCTCCCCTTTGAACTGGAAAATGGCCCACTTCCCACTGGCGAAAACTCATGAAATTTGGCAGGACGACGGGGCCTGGTAAAAAATTTGATATTCCGAAGTCGCCCAAACAAGAAAATGCAAAATGGCTCCATAGCGCCCCCTAAGGTGAAAATTCACACTATTGACTGTCACGCCTGTACGCTTTGTCAAAATGACACAAAAATTGACACACACATGTATCTCAATAAGATCTACAAAAAAGTCAGTGCGGGCGTATCTGTCAAATGTACGGTTAAAGGGTTATTTCGCATTTTTTGCCGATCCGCACACATTGGAATTTCGCTAACTCCTCCGAAGGCTTTCGTTCCACCGGCACCACATTTGCTCAGGCCAATCTACACCCCATGGCCATTAAAAGTTATTCAAATCATGACGCTGCACCCCACGGTTTAGGTTCTAGGGGGCGCCAAAGATAACCCTAAGATCCACATATTTAAAAGTCTTATAACTTTTTATTTTTGCCCTCACTGGCCTCCAAGTTTTCTAGGATGATGCAATGTCCAGCCATCAACACATTTGTGAAGGAATTTTTACTCCCCAAAAGAGCGCCCCCCATGGCAGGAGAAAAAAGTCCATTTTTTCTTGTCCCATAAGGTGAAAATACACATTGTTGACTGTCATACCTGTACGCTTTGTCATATTGACACAAAATTTGACACACACATGTATCTCAATAAGATCTAAGAAAAAGTCAATGCGCGCGTATCTGTAAAATGTACGGTTAAAGGGCTATTTTGCATTTTTTGCCGATTAGCACACATTGGAATGTGGCTAACTCCTCCTAAGGCTTTCGTCCCACTGACACCAAATTTGCTCAGGCCAATCTACACCCCATGGCCATTCAAAGTTGTAAAAATCATGACGCTGCACCCCACGGTTTACGTTCTAGGGGGCGCCAAAGATGACCCAAATATCCACATTCTTAAAAGAATCCACATCCCCCCCCCCCCCCCATCCCCCATCCCCCATCCCCCATGGCACAAGAAACAGTCAAGTTTTTCCTGCCCATCACTCAATGGCTCAATCGCATCGCTCTCCCGGCAACACCGTAATGAGGAGCAACTTGCCATTTGGATATATCCTAGCTGTGTTTGTGCCCTCACTCATGGTCCAGACTTTTTTCAAATAGGACATGTAGTTTGTCTGCAGTGAGTGTTTTGGTAGAAACTGCGCCTCCCATTCATTTTAATGGGAAATGACCACAGACAAGTGGGCACACCATCTTTGGACCTTGAGTGTGACGCGATCGGGGGGGGGAGGCGGTCGCGCTGGGTGCGGCACAACGCGGCTCGGGCCCGACAGTGCCCCACCGGGGCCCTAGTTATTTTTCCTCCCCTTTGAACTGGAAAATGGCCCACTTCCCACTGGCGAAAACTCATGAAATTTGGCAGGACGACCGGGCCTGGTGAAAAATTTGATATTCCGAAGTCGCCCAAACAAGAAAATGCAAAATGGCTCCATAGCGCCCCCTAAGGTGAAAATTCACACTATTGACTGTCACGCCTGTACGCTTTGTCAAAATGACACAAAAATTGACACACACATGTATCTCAATAAGATCTACAAAAAAGTCAGTGCGGGCGTATCTGTCAAATGTACGGTTAAAGGGTTATTTCGCATTTTTTGCCGATCCGCACACATTGGAATTTCGCTAACTCCTCCGAAGGCTTTCGTTCCACCGGCACCACATTTGCTCAGGCCAATCTACACCCCATGGCCATTAAAAGTTATTCAAATCATGACGCTGCACCCCACGGTTTAGGTTCTAGGGGGCGCCAAAGATAACCCTAAGATCCACATATTTAAAAGTCTTATAACTTTTTATTTTTGCCCTCACTGGCCTCCAAGTTTTCTAGGATGATGCAATGTCCAGCCATCAACACATTTGTGAAGGAATTTTTACTCCCCAAAAGAGCGCCCCCCATGGCAGGAGAAAAAAGTCCATTTTTTCTTGTCCCCTAAGGTGAAAATACACATTGTTGAGTTTAACACCTGTACGCTTTGGCAAAATGACACAAAAATTGACACACACATGTATCTCAATAAGATCTACGAAAAAGTCAATGCGCGCGTATCTGTCAAATGTACGGTGAAAGGGTTATTCCGCATTTTTTGCCGATCCGCACACATTGGAATTTCGCTAACTCCTCCGAAGGCTTTGGTTCCACCGGCACCACATTTGCTCAGGCCAATCTACACCCCATGGCCATTAAAAGTTATTCAAATCATGACGCTGCACCCCACGGTTTAGGTTCTAGGGGGCGCCAAAGATAACCCTAAAATCCACATATTTAAAAGTCTTATAACTTTTTATTTTTGTCCTCACTGGCCTCCAAGTTTTCTAGGATGATGCAATGTCCAGCCATCAACACATTTGTGAAGGAATTTTTACTCCCCAAAAGAGCGCCCCCCCAATGGCAGGAGAAAAAAGTCAATTTTTTCTTGTCCCCTAAGGTGGAAATTCACACTATTGACTGTCACGCCTGTACGCTTTATCATATTGACACAAAAATTGACACACATATGTATCTCAATAATATCTACAAAAAAGTCAATGCGCGCGTATCTGTCAAATGTACGGTTAAAGGGCTATTTTGCATTTTTTGCCGATTCGCACACATTGGAATGTGGCTAACTCCTCCTAAGGCTTTCGTCCCACTGACACCAAATTTGCTCAGGCCAATCTACACCCCATGGCCATTCAAAGTTGTAAAAATCATGACGCTGCACCCCACGGTTTACGTTCTAGGGGGCGCCAAAGATGACCCAAAAATCCACATTCTTAAAAGAATCCACCCCCCCCCCCCCAATGGCAGGAGAAAAAGTCAAGTTAACCCTGCCCATCGCTCAATGGCTCAATCGCATCGCTCTCCAGGCAACACCGTAAGGAGGAGCAACCTGCCATTTCGATATATCATAGCTGTGTTTGTGCCCTCACTCATGGTCCAGACTTTTTTCAAATAGGACATGAAGTTTGTCTGCAGCGAGTGTTTTGGTAGAAACTGCGCCTCCCATTCATTATAATGGGAAATGACCACAGACAAGTGCGCACACCATCTTTGGACCTTGAGTGTGACGCGATCGGGAGGGGGAGGCGGTCGCGCTGGGGGCGGCGCGACGCGGCTCGGGCCCGACAGTGCCCCACCGGGGCCCTAGTTCTTTCTTTCTTAGGGCCCGAGCGTAGCTGCTAAGCAGCTGCGAGAGCCCTATTATTCCCCAAGTGGTTTTTCTTTGTTTCTTTCTTTCTTTCTTTCTTTCTTCTTTTTCCTCCCCTTTGAACTGGAAAATGGCCCACTTCCCACTGGCGAAAACTCATGAAATTTGGCAGGACGACCGGGCCTGGTGAAAAATTCGATATTCTGAAGTCGCCCAAACAATAAAATGCAAAATGGCTCCATAGCGCCCCCTAAGGTGGAAATTCACACTATTGACTGTCACGCCTGTACGCTTTGTCATATTGACACAAAAATTGACACACATATGTATCTCAATAAGATCTACAAAAAAGTCAGTGCGGCCGTATCTGTCAAATGTACGGTTAAAGGGTTATTTCGCATTTTTTGCCGATCCGCACACATTGGAATTTCGCTAACTCCTCCGAAGGCTTTCGTTCCACCGGCACCACATTTGCTCAGGCCAATCTACACCCCATGGCCATTAAAAGTTATTCAAATCATGACGCTGCACCCCACGGTTTAGGTTCTAGGGGGCGCCAAAGATAACCCTAAGATCCACATATTTAAAAGTCTTATAACTTTTTATTTTTGCCCTCACTGGCCTCCAAGTTTTCTAGGATGATGCAATGTCCAGCCATCAACACATTTGTGAAGGAATTTTTACTCCCCAAAAGAGCGCCCCCCCATGGCAGGAGAAAAAAGTCCATTTTTTCTTGTCCCCTAAGGTGAAAATACACATTGTAGAGTGTAACACCTGTACGCTTTGGCAAAATGACACCAAAATTGACACACACATGTATCTCAATAAGATCTACAAAAAAGTCAGTGCGGGCGTATCTGTCAAATGTACGGTTAAAGGGTTATTTCGCATTTTTTGCCGATCCGCACACATTGGAATTTCGCTAACTCCTCCGAAGGCTTTCGTTCCACCGGCACCACATTTGCTCAGGCCAATCTACACCCCATGGCCATTAAAAGTTATTCAAATCATGACGCTGCACCCCACGGTTTAGGTTCTAGGGGGCGCCAAAGATAACCCTAAGATCCACATATTTAAAAGTCTTATAACTTTTTATTTTTGCCCTCACTGGCCTCCAAGTTTTCTAGGATGATGCAATGTCCAGCCATCAACACATTTGTGAAGGAATTTTTACTCCCCAAAAGAGCGCCCCCCCATGGCAGGAGAAAAAAGTCCATTTTTTCTTGTCCCCTAAGGTGAAAATACACATTGTTGAGTGTAACACCTGTACGCTTTGGCAAAATGACACCAAAATTGACACACACATGTATCTCAATAAGATCTACAAAAAAGTCAATGGCCACGTATCCGTAAAATGTACGGTTAAAGGGTTATTTCGCATTTTTTGAAGATTCGCACACATTGGAATTTCGCTAACTCCTCCGAAGGCTTTCGTTCCACCGGCACCACATTTGCTCAGGCCAATCTACACCCCATGGCCATTAAAAGTTATTGAAATCATGACGCTGCACCCCACGGTTTAGGTTCTAGGGGGCGCCAAAGATAACCCTAAAATCCACATATTTAAAAGTCTTATAACTTTTTATTTTTGTCCTCACTGGCCTCCATGTTTTCTAGGATGATGCAATGTCCAGCCATCAACACATTTGTGAAGGAGTTTTTTCTCGTTAAAAGAGCGCCCCCCCATGGCAGGAGAATAAAGTCAAGTTTTTCCTGTTCATCATTCAATGGCTCAAACGCACTGCTCTCTCGGCAAAAGCGAAAGGAGGAGCAACTTGCCATTTGGATATATCTTAGCTGTGTTTGTGCCCTCACTCATGGTCCAGACTTTTTTCAAATAGGACATGGAGTTTTTCTGCAGCGAGCGTTTTGGTAGAAACTGCGCCTCCCGTTCATTATAATGGTAAATGACCACAAACAAGTGCGCACACCATCTTTGGACCTTGAGTGTGACGCGATCGGGTGGGGGAGGCGGTCGCGCTGGGGGCGGCGTGACACGGCTCGGGCCCGCCAGTGCCCCAACGGGGCCCTAGTTTCTTCTTTTTCCTCCCCTTTGAACTGGAAAATGGCCCACTTCCCACTGGCGAAAACTCATGAAATTTGGCAGGACGACCGGGCCTGGTGAAAAATTCGATATTCTGAAGTCGCCCAAACAATAAAATGCAAAATGGCTCCATAGCGCCCCCTAAGGTGGAAATTCACACTATTGACTGTCACGCCTGTACGCTTTGTCATATTGACACAAAAATTGACACACATATGTATCTCAATAAGATCTACAAAAAAGTCAGTGCGGCCGTATCTGTCAAATGTACGGTTAAAGGGTTATTTCGCATTTTTTTCCGATCCGCACACATTGGAATTTCGCTAACTCCTCTGAAGGCTTTCGTTCCACCGGCACCACATTTGCTCAGGCCAATCTACACCCCGTGGCCATTAAAAGTTATCAAAATCATGACGCTGCACCCCAAGGTTTAGGTTCTAGGGGGCGCCAAAGATAACACTAAAATCCACATATTTAAAAGTCTTATAACTTTTTATTTTTGTCCTCACTGGCCTCCAAGTTTTCTAGGATGATGCAATGTCCAGCCATCAACACATTTGTGAAGGAATTTTTACTCCCCAAAAGAGCGCCCCCCCATGGCAGGAGAAAAAAGTCCATTTTTTCTTGTCCCCTAAGGTGAAAATACACATTGTTGAGTGTCACGCCTATACGCTTTGTCAAAATGACACAAAAATTGACACACACATGTAACTCAATAAGATCTACGAAAAAGTCAATGCGCGCGTATCTGTCAAATGTACGGTTAAAGGGTTATTCCGCATTTTTTGCCGATCCGCACACATTGGAATTTCGCTAACTCCTCCGAAGGCTTTCTGTCCACCGGCACCACATTTGCTCAGGCCAATCTACAGCCCATGGCCATTAAAAGTTATCAAAATCATGACGCTGCACCCCACGGTTTAGGTTCTAGGGGGCGCCAAAGATAACCCTAAAATCCACATATTTAAAAGTCTTATAACTTTTTATTTTTGTCCTCACTGGCCTCCAAGTTTTCTAGGATGATGCAATGTCAAGCCATCAACACATTTGTGAAGGAATTTTTACTCCCCAAAAGAGCGCCCCCCCCATGGCAGGAGAAAAAAGTCCATTTTTTCTTGTCCCTTAAGGTGAAAATACATATTGTTGAGATTCACGCCTATACGCTTTGTCATATTGACACAAAATTTGACAATCACGTGCCTTGCCTGGTATCATTTTTTTCAGCACAACCTCACCTGTGCGAATTTACAGTTATTTTATCATGTTGACATACTGAATTTACACAATGGACCCAAATTCACACACAAAACATAAAATCCGAGTGGAAAAAAGTAACATTTTTACTGTGAAAACCACAAATATGTGTGATGAACTGTTTTTAAAACTTAAACTTCAAATAAAAATTGTAAACTTCAAAACATATGCAAATTTTTAACAAAGAACATAGTGATTTACCTCTATTTACATCAAAATGCAGGCAATGGCCCAGGCGTTCTTTGTAAAATTATTTACAAAACACTGTATAGTCTCACAAATGTCACTTTTTCTTTATGCCACTACAAAAAAACATGATGTAAATGATGCATGATGTAAAACATGATGTAAAAAACTTGTGTAGATCCTCCTCTATGTCAGTCCATGTGTAATTTTTCCATAATTCTTTGTTTTTTGCAGCATTTTTGTTAGTGTAACTGCAGATTGTGCTGACAGTGTCTATGGCACAAAAAAAAAAAAAATAAAATGCCTCAACATGAACCCCTGGTGGTCTCTGAGGGTGAAACCTGCTAACTGCTGCAGCTCTGTCAGCTTCAGTCTCCCATGCAGAGCTCTGAGCGCATGTGTGGCTCTGCACCCTTAGCAGCGTTGCTAACTCCTCAGTAAGGAAAGCCTGCTTCATGTCAGAGTCTCTAAACTCCAGAAGAAGTCGATAAAAGTCCCTTTCTTTCTAAAAAAAAGTCGTTAGGGGGTCTGAAAAGTCATTGAATCTAACAACAAAGTCGCTAGGTTTGCAACTACGTGTCCCAGACTGCATCCCTGCTGAGAGTCCCTCCCTCCCTTCTCATGTTGCAGGAAGAACGTAAGCGCCCGCCCCTTGTCAATCAGTCACCATATAATTTTGGATTGGTTGTTGTGGTGAAGTTTTCCACCAATAGGAGAGATGTTGTGGTGTGTTTTTTTTTTCTTTTGGCAAGCCTTTTCCGCCTGTAAGACCTGTCGCTAATGTCTGCATGCTATGTTTTCCTGTCTCATACAGCGCGATCGAGCGCCCAACGTGATCAAAATAAGCAGAAAAAAAGTATCGCGGACATAATTTATCATAACTCTGGTTTTATTTGGCCTATCAACACAATTTAAAAACTGGTATATAGGTTGAGGTCCTCACTTTTGAGATAAGTTGAAACGGAGAGTCAACGAGGCTCCGTCTTGCAGCTACATCCGGTTAAATATGTCATGTGACTTGAACGCACACACAGACACACACACACGCACACACACACACACACACACACACACACACACACTCAGAGTCTGGTTTTTAGCACCTGCAAAAACATGCTATTTACATATTTGACAAGAATGCAGAGGCTCCTTTTGCCCCTGAAAAAAATCAAATTTCAAACACAACTTGACTGGTCATTTCTCCAAAAGACAACCATGAAGCTCCATCCAAACCTGAAGCAGGCAGTTGGTGCATGTGTACAGTAACCTGAGGGGAGTGAGGTGAGTGCTTCTGAGGAGAACATGAGCAGTGAAGATTCACCTTGGAGCTAGAACAGAGACATGCACATGATTATACAGGGGCAGGGGCTCAAGTTTTTTCCAGTCGTTTATACAATATGGAAATTAATGTGAAATTAAAACACAAAGTATTAATAGAAAGGTAATGACTGTCCTGTGTAGGTGACAGTGATATCGAATAGGCTAGGCACTCACGAGGCTGGCTGTGGCAAGTGTAAGTGAAAGCAACACGCACTGGCAGGAAGAACAGCAAACGCCGATGAAGGAAAAGGGTCTTTGCAGTGATGGGCGTTACCAGAGAGGGCGATGGCCAGAGGACACAAATGGGACGGGGAGGCAGCGCGTTGGGGGGGGGGGGGGGGGGGCGACACGGCTCGGGCCCGCCAGTGCCCCAACGGGGTCCTAGTTAGGGCCCGAGACAGCTGCAGAGCAGCCGGGCGTAGAGCCCTATTATTCCTGTATAGGTTTTTCTTTCTTCTTTCTTTCTTTCTTTCTTTCTTTAGGGCCCGAGCGTAGCTGCTAAGCAGCTGCGAGAGCCCTCTTGTTCCTGATGGATTCTTCTTTTGTTATTATTATTATTTTTCCTCCGCTTTAAACTGGAAAATGGCCCACTTCCCACTGGCGAAAACTCATGAAATTTGGCAGGACGACCGGGCCTGGTGAAAAATTCGATATTCTGAAGTCGCCCAAACAATAAAATGCAAAATGGCTCCATAGCGCCCCCTAAGGTGAAAATTCACACTATTGACTGTCACGCCTGTACGCTTTGTCATATTGACACAAAATTTGACACACACATGTATCTCAATAAGATCTACAAAAAAGTCAATGCGGGCGTATCTGTAAAATGTACGGTTAAAGGGTTATTTCGCATTTTTTTTCCGATCCGCACACATTGGAATTTCGCTAACTCCTCCGAAGGCTTTCGTTCCACCGGCACCACATTTGCTCAGGCCAATCTACACCCCATGGCCATTCAAAGTTGTACAAATCATGACGCTGCACCCCACGGTTTACGTTCTAGGGGGCGCCAAAGATAACCCAAAAATCCACAGTCTTAAAAGTCTTATAACTTTTTATTTTTGTCCACACTGGCCTCCAAGTTCTCTAGGATGATGCAATGTCCAGCAATTAACACATTTGTGAAGGAATTTTTACTCGCCAAAAGAGCGCCCCCCCATGGCAGGAGAAAAAAGTCAATTTTTTCTTGTCCCCTAAGACGAAAATACACATTGTTGAGTGTCATGCCTGTACGCTTTGTCATATTGAAAAAAAATTTGACACACACGTGTATCTCAATAAGATCTACGAAAAAGTCAATGCGCGCGTATCTGTAAAATGTACGGCTAAAGGGCTATTTTGCATTTTTTGCCGATTCGCACACATTGGAATGTGGCTAACTCCTCCTAAGGCTTTCGTCCCACTGACACCAAATTTGCTCAGGCCAATCTACACCCCATGGCCATTAAAAGTTGTAAAAATCATGCCGCTGCACCCCATGGTTTACGTTCTAGGGGGCGCCAAAGATGACCCAAATATCCACATTCTTAAAAGTCGTTTTGGCCACTGCAGGAGTACAGAGTACTGCAGGATACACACACACAGACACACACACACACAGACACACAAACACACGCACACAAACACACGCACACACACACACACACACACACACACACACACACACACACTCAGAGTCTGTTTTTTAGCACCTGCAAAAACATGCTATTTACATATTTGACAAGAATGCAGAGGCTTCCTTTTGCCCCTGAAAAAAATCTAATTTCTAACACAACTTGACTGCTCATTTCTCCAAAAGACAACCATGAAGCTCCATCCAAACCTGAAGCAGGCAGTTGGTGCATGTGTACAGTAACCTGAGGGGAGTGAGGTGAGTGCTTCTGAGGAGAACATGAGCAGTGAAGATTCACCTTGGAGCGAGAACAGGGACGTGCACATGATTATACAGGGGCAGGGGCTCAAGTTTTTTCCAGTCGTTTATACGATATGGAAATTAATGTGAAATTAAAAAACAAAGTATTAATAGAAAGGTAATGACTGTCCTGTGTAGGTGACAGTGATATCCAATAGGCTAGGCACTCACGAGGCTGGCTGTGGCAAGTGTAAGTGAAAGCAACACGCACTGGCAGGAAGAACAGCAAACGCCGATGAAGGAGAAGGGTCTTTGCAGTGATGGGCGTTACCAGAGAGGACGATGGCCAGAGGACGCGAATGGGACGGGGAGGCAGCGCGTTGGGGGGGGGGCGCGACACAGCTCGGGCCCGCCAGTGCCCCAACGGGGCCCTAGTTCTTCTTATTTTTCCTCCCCTTTGAAGGGGAAAATGGCCCACTTCCCACTGGCGAAAACTCATGAAATTTGGCAGGACGAATGGGCCTGGTGAAAAATTCGATATTCTGAAGTCGCCCAAACAATAAAATGCAAAATGGCTCCATAGCGCCCCCTAAGGTGAAAATTCACACTATTGACTGTCACGCCTTTACGCTTTGTCATATTGACACAAAAATTGACACACACATGTATCTCAATAAGATCTACAAAAAAGTCAGTGCGGGCGAATCTGTCAAATGTACGGTTAAAGGGTTATTTCGCATTTTTTGCCGATCCGCACACATTGGAATTTCGCTAACTCCTCCGAAGGCTTTCGTTCCACCGGCACCACATTTGCTCAGGCCAATCTACACCCCATGGCCATTAAAAGTTGTACAAATCATGACGCTGCACCCCACGGTTTACGTTCTAGGGGGCGCCAAAGATAACCCAAAAATCCACAGTCTTAAAAGTCTTATAACTTTTTATTTTTGTCCTCACTGGCCTCCAAGTTCTCTAGGATGATGCAATGTCCAGCCATTGACACATTTGTGAAGGAATTTTTACTCGCCAAAAGAGCGCCCCCCCATGGCAGGAGAAAAAAGTCCATTTTTTCTTGTCTCCTAAGGCGAAAATTCACACTATTGACTGTCACGCCTTTACGCTTTGTCATATTGACACAAAAATTGACACACACATGTATCTCAATAAGATCTACAAAAAAGTCAGTGCGGGCGTATCTGTCAAATGTACGGTTAAAGGGCTATTTCGCATTTTTTGCCGATCCGCACACATTGGAATTTCGCTAACTCCTCCGAAGGCTTTCGTTCCAAAGGCACCACATTTGCTCAGGCCAATCTACACCCCATGGCCATTAAAAGTTGTACAAATCATGACGCTGTACCCCACGGTTTACGTTCTAGGGGGCGCCAAAGATAACCCAAAAATCCACAGTCTTAAAAGTCTTATAACTTTTTATTTTTGTCCTCACTGGCCTCCAAGTTCTCTAGGATGATGCAATGTCCAGCCATCAACACATTTGTGAAGGAATTTTTACTCGCCAAAAGAGCGCCCCCCCCCCCATGGCAGGAGAAAAAAGTCCATTTTTTCTTGTCTCCTAAGGAGAAAATACACATTGTTGACTGTCACGCCTTTACGCTTTGTCAAAATGACACAAAATTTGACACACACATGTATCTCAATAAGATCTACGAAAAAGTCAATGCGAGCGTATCTGTTCAATGTACGGTTAAAGGGCTATTTCGCATTTTTTGCCGATTCGCACACATTGGAATGTGGCTAACTCCTCCTAAATCTTTTGTCCCATCGGCTTCAAATTTGCTCAGGTCAATCTACACCCCATGGCCATTCAAAGTTGTACAAATCATGACGCTGCACCCCACAGTTTACGTTCTAGGGGGCGCCAAAGAGGACCCAAATATCCACATTTTTAAAAGTCTTATAACTTTTTATTTTTGTCCTCACTGGCCTCCAAGTTTTCTAGGATGATGCAATGTCCAGCCATCAACACATTTGTGAAGGAATTTTTTCTCCCCAAAAGAGCGCCCCCCATGGCAGGAGAAAAAGTCAAGTTTTTCCTGCCCATCGCTCAATGGCTCAAACGCATCGCTCTCTCGGCAAAACCGAAAGGAGGAGCAACTTGCCATTTGGATATATACTAGCTGTGTTTGTGCCCTCACTCATGGTCCAGACTTTTTTCAAAAAGGACACGTAGTTTTTCTGCAGCGAGCGTTTTGGTAGAGACTGTGCCTCCCATTCATTATAATGGGAAATGACCAAAGACAGTTGCGCACACCATCTTTGGACCCTGACTGTGACGTCACAGTTTGAGATACAAATGTTATTTGACCTCTGACCTTTAGTGGAGACCCTAACCTTTCAACGCGCAAAAGCGTTGGACACACACTGGCGGGAAGAACCACAAACGCCGATGAAGGATAAGGGTCTTTGTAGTGATGGGCGTTACCAGAGAGGGCGATGGCCAGAGGAAGAGAATGGGACGGGGAGGCGATCGCGTTGGGGAGGGGGCGCGACACGGCTCGGGCCCGCCAGTGCCCCAACGGGGCCCTAGTTATTATTTTTCCTCCGCTTTAAACTGGAAAATGGCCCACTTCCCACTGGCGAAAACTCATGAAATTTGGCAGGACGACCGGGCCTGGTGAAAAATTCGATATTCTGAAGTCACCCAAACAATAAAATGCAAAATGGCTCCATAGCGCCCCCTAAGGTGAAAATTCACACTATTGACTGTCACGCCTGTACGCTTTGTCATATTGACACAGAAATTGACACACACATGTATCTCAATAAGATCTACAAAAAAGTCAGTGCGGGCGTATCTGTAAAATGTACGGTTAAAGGGCTATTTTGCATTTTTTGCCGATTCGCACATATTGGAATTTCGCTAACTCCTCCGAAGGCTTTCGTTCCACCGGCACCACATTTGCTCAGGCCAATCTACACCCCATGGCCATTAAAAGTTATTAAAATCATGACGCTGCACCCCACGGTTAAGGTTCTAGGGGGCGCCAAAGATAACCCTAAAATCCACATATTTAAAAGTCTTATAACTTTTTATTTTTGTCCACACTGGCCTCCAAGTTCTCTAGGATGATGCAATGTCCAGCAATTAACACATTTGTGAAGGAATTTTTACTCGCCAAAAGAGCGCCCCCCCATGGCAGGAGAAAAAAGTCAATTTTTTCTTGTCCCCTAAGACGAAAATACACATTGTTGAGTGTCATGCCTGTACGCTTTGTCATATTGAAAAAAAAATTTGACACACACGTGTATCTCAATAAGATCTACGAAAAAGTCAATGCGCGCGTATCTGTAAAATGTACGGTTAAAGGGTTATTTCGCATTTTTTGCCGATCCGCACACATTGGAATTTCGCTAACTCCTCCGAAGGCTTTCGTTCCACCGGCACCACATTTGCTCAGGCCAATCTACACCCCATGGCCATTCAAAGTTGTACAAATCATGACGCTGCACCCCACGGTTTACGTTCTAGGGGGCGCCAAAGATAACCCAAAAATCCACAGTCTTAAAAGTCTTATAACTTTTTATTTTTGTCCACACTGGCCTCCAAGTTCTCTAGGATGATGCAATGTCCAGCAATTAACACATTTGTGAAGGAATTTTTACTCGCCAAAAGAGCGCCCCCCCATGGCAGGAGAAAAAAGTCAATTTTTTCTTGTCCCCTAAGACGAAAATACACATTGTTGAGTGTCATGCCTGTACGCTTTGTCATATTGAAAAAAAAATTTGACACACACGTGTATCTCAATAAGATCTACGAAAAAGTCAATGCGCGCGTATCTGTAAAATGTACGGCTAAAGGGCTATTTTGCATTTTTTGCCGATTCGCACACATTGGAATGTGGCTAACTCCTCCTAAGGCTTTCGTCCCACTGACACCAAATTTGCTCAGGCCAATCTACACCCCATGGCCATTAAAAGTTGTAAAAATCATGCCGCTGCACCCCATGGTTTACGTTCTAGGGGGCGCCAAAGATGACCCAAATATCCACATTCTTAAAAGTCGTTTTGGCCACTGCAGGAGTACAGAGTACTGCAGGATACACACACACAGACACACACACACACAGACACACAAACACACGCACACAAACACACGCACACACACACACACACACACACAGACACACACACACACACTCAGAGTCTGTTTTTTAGCACCTGCAAAAACATGCTATTTACATATTTGACAAGAATGCAGAGGCTTCCTTTTGCCCCTGAAAAAAATCTAATTTCTAACACAACTTGACTGCTCATTTCTCCAAAAGACAACCATGAAGCTCCATCCAAACCTGAAGCAGGCAGTTGGTGCATGTGTACAGTAACCTGAGGGGAGTGAGGTGAGTGCTTCTGAGGAGAACATGAGCAGTGAAGATTCACCTTGGAGCGAGAACAGGGACGTGCACATGATTATACAGGGGCAGGGGCTCAAGTTTTTTCCAGTCGTTTATACGATATGGAAATTAATGTGAAATTAAAAAACAAAGTATTAATAGAAAGGTAATGACTGTCCTGTGTAGGTGACAGTGATATCCAATAGGCTAGGCACTCACGAGGCTGGCTGTGGCAAGTGTAAGTGAAAGCAACACGCACTGGCAGGAAGAACAGCAAACGCCGATGAAGGAGAAGGGTCTTTGCAGTGATGGGCGTTACCAGAGAGGACGATGGCCAGAGGACGCGAATGGGACGGGGAGGCAGCGCGTTGGGGGGGGGGCGCGACACAGCTCGGGCCCGCCAGTGCCCCAACGGGGCCCTAGTTAGGGCCCGAGCGTAGCTGCTAAGCAGCTGCGAGAGCCCTATTATTCCTGATGGATTCTTCTTAGGGCCCGAGCGTAGCTGCTAAGCAGCTGCGAGAGCCCTATTATTCCTGATGGATTCTTCTTTAGGGCCCGAGCGTAGCTGCTAAGCAGCTGCGAGAGCCCTATTATTCCTGATGGATTCTTCTTTCTTCTTCTTCTTCTTATTATTTTTCTGCCCCTTTGAACTGGAAAATGGCCCACTTCCCACTGGTGAAAAGTCATGAAATTTGGCAGGACGACCGGGCCTGGTGAAAAATTCGATATTCTGAAGTCGCCCAAAAAATCAAATGCAAAATGGCTCCATAGCGCCCCCTAAGGTGAAAAATTCACATGATTGAGTGTCACGCCTGTACGCTTTGTCAAAATGACACAAAATTTGACACACACGTGTATCTCAATAAGATCTACAAAAAAGTCAGTGCGGGCGTATCTGTCAAATGTACGGTTAAAGGGCTATTTCGCATTTTTTGCCGATCCGCACACATTGGAATTTCGCTAACTCCTCCGAAGGCTTTCGTTCCACCGGCACCAAATTTGCTCAGGCCAATCTACACCCCATGGCCATTAAAAGTTGTACAAATCATGACGCTGCATCCCACGGTTTACGTTCTAGGGGGCGCCAAAGATAACCCAGAAATCCACATTCTTAAAAGTCGTATAACTTTTTATTTTTGTCCTCACTGGCCTCCAAGTTTTCTAGGATGATGCAATGTCCAGCCATCAACACATTTGTGAAGGAATTTTTACTCCCCAAAAGAGCGCCCCCCCATGGCAGGAGAAAAAAGTCCATTTTTTCTTGTCTCCTAAGGCGAAAATTCACACTATTGACTGTCACGCCTTTACGCTTTGTCATATTGACACAAAAATTGACACACACATGTATCTCAATAAGATCTACAAAAAAGTCAGTGCGGGCGTATCTGTCAAATGTACGGTGAAAGGGCTATTTCGCATTTTTTGCCGATCCGCACACATTGGAATTTCGCTAACTCCTCCGAAGGCTTTCGTTCCAAAGGCACCACATTTGCTGAGGCCAATCTACACCCCATGGCCATTAAACGTTGTACAAATCATGACGCTGCACCCCACGGTTTACGTTCTAGGGGGCGCCAAAGATAACCCAAAAATCCACAGTCTTAAAAGTCTTATAACTTTTTATTTTTGTCCTCACTGGCCTCCAAGTTCTCTAGGATGATGCAATGTCCAGCCATCAACACATTTGTGAAGGAATTTTTACTCGCCAAAAGAGCGCCCCCATGGCAGGAGAAAAAAGTCCATTTTTTCTTGTCTCCTAAGGCAAAAATACACATTGTTGACTGTCACGCCTTTACGCTTTGTCAAAATGACACAAAATTTGACACACACATGTATCTCAATAAGATCTACAAAAAAGTCAGTGCGGGCGTATCTGTCAAATGTACGGTTAAAGGGTTATTTCGCATTTTTTGCCGATCCGCACACATTGGAATTTCGCTAACTCCTCCTAAATCTTTTGTCCCATCGGCTTCAAATTTGCTCAGGTCAATCTACACCCCATGGCCATTCAAAGTTGTACAAATCATGACGCTGCACCCCACAGTTTACGTTCTAGGGGGCGCCAAAGAGGACCCAAATATCCACATTTTTAAAAGTCTTATAACTTTTTATTTTTGTCCTCACTGGCCTCCAAGTTTTCTAGGATGATGCAATGTCCAGCCATCAACACATTTGTGAAGGAATTTTTCTCCCCAAAAGAGCGCCCCCCCATGGCAGGAGAAAAAGTCAAGTTTTTCCTGCCCATCGCTCAATGGCTCAAACGCATCGCTCTCTCTGCAAAACCGAAAGGAGGAGCAACTTGCCATTTGGATATATACTAGCTGTGTTAGTGCCCTCACTCATGGTCCAGACTTTTTTCAAATAGGACATGTAGTTTGTCTGCAGCGAATGTTTTGGTAGAAACTGCGCCTCCCATTCATTATAATGGGAAATGACCACAGACAAGTGCGCACACCATCTTTGGACCTTGAGTGTGACGCGATCGGGAGGGGGAGGCGGTCGCGCTGGGGGCGGCGCGACGCGGCTCGGGCCCGACAGTGCCCCACCGGGGCCCTAGTTCTTCTTCTTCTTCTTATTATTTTTCTGCCCCTTTGAACTGGAAAATGGCCCACTTCCCACTGGTGAAAAGTCATGAAATTTGGCAGGACGACCGGGCCTGGTGAAAAATTCGATATTCTGAAGTCGCCCAAAAGATCAAATGCAAAATGGCTCCATAGCGCCCCCTAAGGTGAAAAATTCACATGATTGAGTGTCACGCCTGTACGCTTTGTCAAAATGACACAAAAATTGACACACACGTGTATCTCAATAAGATCTACAAAAAAGTCAGTGCGGGCGTATCTGTCAAATGTACGGTTAAAGGGCTATTTCGCATTTTTTGCCGATCCGCACACATTGGAATTTCGCTAACTCCTCCGAAGGCTTTCGTTCCACCGGCACCAAATTTGCTCAGGCCAATCTACACCCCATGGCCATTAAAAGTTGTACAAATCATGACGCTGCATCCCACGGTTTACGTTCTAGGGGGCGCCAAAGATAACCCAGAAATCCACATTCTTAAAAGTCGTATAACTTTTTATTTTTGTCCTCACTGGCCTCCAAGTTTTCTAGGATGATGCAATGTCCAGCCATCAACACATTTGTGAAGGAATTTTTACTCCCCAAAAGAGCGCCCCCCCATGGCAGGAGAAAAAAGTCCATTTTTTCTTGTCTCCTAAGGCGAAAATTCACACTATTGACTGTCACGCCTTTACGCTTTGTCATATTGACACAAAAATTGACACACACATGTATCTCAATAAGATCTACAAAAAAGTCAGTGCGGGCGTATCTGTCAAATGTACGGTGAAAGGGCTATTTCGCATTTTTTGCCGATCCGCACACATTGGAATTTCGCTAACTCCTCCGAAGGCTTTCGTTCCAAAGGCACCACATTTGCTGAGGCCAATCTACACCCCATGGCCATTAAAAGTTGTACAAATCATGACGCTGCACCCCACGGTTTACGTTCTAGGGGGCGCCAAAGATAACCCAAAAATCCACAGTCTTAAAAGTCTTATAACTTTTTATTTTTGTCCTCACTGGCCTCCAAGTTCTCTAGGATGATGCAATGTCCAGCCATCAACACATTTGTGAAGGAATTTTTACTCGCCAAAAGAGCGCCCCCCCATGGCAGGAGAAAAAAGTCCATTTTTTCTTGTCTCCTAAGGCAAAAATACACATTGTTGACTGTCACGCCTTTACGCTTTGTCAAAATGACACAAAATTTGACACACACATGTATCTCAATAAGATCTACAAAAAAGTCAGTGCGGGCGTATCTGTCAAATGTACGGTTAAAGGGTTATTTCGCATTTTTTGCCGATCCGCACACATTGGAATTTCGCTAACTCCTCCTAAATCTTTTGTCCCATCGGCTTCAAATTTGCTCAGGCCAATCTACACCCCATGGCCATTCAAAGTTGTACAAATCATGACGCTGCACCCCACAGTTTACGTTCTAGGGGGCGCCAAAGAGGACCCAAATATCCACATTTTTAAAAGTCTTATAACTTTTTATTTTTGTCCTCACTGGCCTCCAAGTTTTCTAGGATGATGCAATGTCCAGCCATCAACACATTTGTGAAGGAATTTTTTCTCCCCAAAAGAGCTCCCCCCCATGGCAGGAGAAAAAGTCAAGTTTTTCCTGCCCATCGCTCAATGGCTCAAACGCATCGCTCTCTCTGCAAAACCGAGAGGAGGAGCAACTTGCCATTTGGATATATACTAGCTGTGTTTGTGCCCTCACTCATGGTCCAGACTTTTTTCAAATAGGACATGTAGTTTGTCTGCAGCGAGCGTTTTGGTAGAAACTGCGCCTCCCATTCATTATAATGGGAAATGACCACAGACAAGTGCGCACACCATCTTTGGACCTTGAGTGTGACGCGATCGGGAGGGGGAGGCGGTCGCGCTGGGGGCGGCGCGACGCGGCTCGGGCCCGACAGTGCCCCACCGGGGCCCTAGTTTCTTCTTCTTCTTATTATTATTTTTCTGCCCCTTTGAACTGGAAAATGGCCCACTTCCCACTGGTGAAAAGTCATGAAATTTGGCAGGACGACCGGGCCTGGTGAAAAATTCGATATTCTGAAGTCGCCCAAAAAATCAAATGCAAAATGGCTCCATAGCGCCCCCTAAGGTGAAAAATTAACATGATTGAGTGTCACGCCTGTACGCTTTGTCAAAATGACACAAAATTTGACACACACGTGTATCTCAATAAGATCTACAAAAAAGTCAGTGCGGGCGTATCTGTCAAATGTACGGTTAAAGGTTTATTTCGCATTTTTTGCCGATCCGCACACATTGGAATTTCGCTAACTCCTCCAAAGGTTTTCGTTCCACCGGCACCACATTTGCTCAGGCCAATCTACACCCCATGGCCAATAAAAGTTGTACAAATCATGACGCTGCACCCCACGGTTTACGTTCTAGGGGGCGCCAAAGATAACCCAAAAATCCACAGTCTTAAAAGTCTTATAACTTTTTATTTTTGTCCTCACTGGCCTCCAAGTTCTCTAGGATGATGCAATGTCCAGCCATCAACACATTTGTGAAGGAATTTTTACTCGCCAAAAGAGCGCCCCCCCATGGCAGGAGAAAAATGTCCATTTTTTCTTGTCTCCTAAGGCGAAAATACACATTGTTGACTGTCACGCCTTTACGCTTTGTCAAAATGACACAAAATTTGACACACACATGTATCTCAATAAGATCTACGAAAAAGTCAATGCGAGCGTATCTGTTCAATGTACGGTTAAAGGGCTATTTCGCATTTTTTGCCGATTCGCACACATTGGAATGTGGCTAACTCCTCCTAAAGCTTTTGTCCCATCGGCTCCAAATTTGCTCAGGTCAATCTACACCCCATGGCCATTCAAAGTTGTACAAATCATGACGCTGCACCCCACAGTTTACGTTCTAGGGGGTGCCAAAGAGGACCCAAATATCCACATTTTTAAAAGTCTTATAACTTTTTATTTTTGTCCTCACTGGCCTCCAAGTTTTCTAGGATGATGCAATGTCCAGCCATCAACACATTTGTGAAGGAATTTTTTCTCCCCAAAAGAGCGCCCCCCCATGGCAGGAGAAAAAGTCAAGTTTTTCCTGCCCATCGCTCAATGGCTCAAAAGCATCGCTCTCTCGGCAAAACCGAAAGGAGGAGCAACTTGCCATTTGGATATATACTAGCTGTGTTTGTGCCCTCACTCATGGTCCAGACTTTTTTCAAAAAGGACATGGAGTTTGTCTGCAGCGAGCGTTTTGGTAGAAACTGCACCTCCCATTCATTATAATGGTAAATGACCACAGACAAGTGCGCACACCATCTTTGGACCTTGAGTGTGACGCGATCAAGAGGGGTAGGCGGTCGCGCTGGGGGCGGCGCGACACGGCTCGGGCCCGCCAGTGCCCCAACGGGGCCCTAGTTATTTTTCCTCCCCTTTGAACTGGAAAATGGCCCACTTCCCACTGGCGAAAACTCATGAAATTTGGCAGGACGACCGGGCCTGGTGAAAAATTTGATATTCCGAAGTCGCCCAAACAAGAAAATGCAAAATGGCTCCATAGCGCCCCCTAAGGTGAAAATTCACACTATTGACTGTCACGCCTGTACGCTTTGTCAAAATGACACAAAAATTGACACACACATGTATCTCAATAAGATCTACAAAAAAGTCAGTGCGGGCGTATCTGTCAAATGTACGGTTAAAGGGTTATTTCGCATTTTTTGCCGATCCGCACACATTGGAATTTCGCTAACTCCTCCGAAGGCTTTCGTTCCACCGGCACCACATTTGCTCAGGCCAATCTACACCCCATGGCCATTAAAAGTTATTAAAATCATGACGCTGCACCCCACGGTTAAGGTTCTAGGGGGCGCCAAAGATAACCCTAAAATCCACATATTTAAAAGTCTTATAACTTTTTATTTTTGTCCTCACTGGCCTCCAAGTTTTCTAGGATGATGCAATGTCCAGCCATCAACACATTTGTGAAGGAATTTTTACTCCCCAAAAGAGCGCCCCCCCATGGCAGGAGAAAAAAGTCCATTTTTTCTTGTCCCCTAAGGTGAAAATACACATTGTTGAGTGTAACACCTGTACGCTTTGGCAAAATGACACAAAAATTGACACACACATGTATCTCAATAAGATCTACGAAAAAGTCAATGCGCGCGTATCTGTCAAATGTACGGTTAAAGGGTTATTCCGCATTTTTTGCCGATCCGCACACATTGGAATTTCGCTAACTCCTCCGAAGGCTTTCGTTCCACCGGCACCACATTTGCTCAGGCCAATCTACACCCCATGGCCATTAAAAGTTATTCAAATCATGACGCTGCACCCCACGGTTTAGGTTCTAGGGGGAGCCAAAGATAACCGTAAAATCCACATATTTAAAAGTCTTATAACTTTTTATTTTTGTCCCCACTGGCCTCCAAGTTTTCTAGGATGATGCAATGTCCAGCCATCAACACATTTGTGAAGGAATTTTTACTCGGCAAAAGAGCGCCCCCCCATGGCAGGAGAAAAAAGTCAATTTTTTCTTGTCCACTAAGGTGAAAATACACATTGTTGAGTGCTACGCCTGTATGTTTTGTCGTATTGACACAAAATTTTACATACACGTGTATTTCAATAAGATCTTCGAAAAAGTCAATGGCCACGTATCTGTAAAATGTACGGTTGAAGGGTTATTTCGCATTTTTTGCAGATTCGCACACATTGGAATTTCGCTAATTCCTCCGAAGGCTTTCGTTCCACCGGCACCACATTTGCTCAGGCCAATCTACACCCCATGGCCATTAAAAGTTATTCAAATCATGACGCTGCACCCCACGGTTTAGGTTCTAGGGGGCGCCAAAGATAACCCTAAAATCCACATATTTAAAAGTCTTATAACTTTTTATTTTTGTCCTCACTGGCCTCCATGTTTTCTAGGATGATGCAATGTCCAGCCATCAACACATTTGTGAAGGAGTTTTTTCTCTTTAAAAGAGCGCCCCCCCATGGCAGGAGAATAAAGTCAAGTTTTTCCTGTTCATCATTCAATGGCTCAAACGCACTGCTCTCTCGGCAAAAGCGAAAGGAGGAGCAACTTGCCATTTGGATATATCTTAGCTGTGTTTGTGCCCTCACTCATGGTCCAGACTTTTTTCAAATAGGACATGGAGTTTTTCTGCAGCGAGCGTTTTGGTAGAAACTGCGCCTCCCGTTCATTATAATGGTAAATGACCACAAACAAGTGCGCACGCCATCTTTGGACCTTGAGTGTGACGCGATCGGGTGGGGGAGGCGGTCGCGCTGGGGGCGGCGTGACACGGCTCGGGCCCGCCAGTGCCCCAACGGGGCCCTAGTTCTTCTTATTTTTCCTCCCCTTTGAAGGGGAAAATGGCCCACTTCCCACTGGCGAAAACTCATGAAATTTGGCAGGACGAATGGGCCTGGTGAAAAATTCGATATTCTGAAGTCGCCCAAACAATAAAATGCAAAATGGCTCCATAGCGCCCCCTAAGGTGAAAATTCACACTATTGACTGTCACGCCTTTACGCTTTGTCATATTGACACAAAAATTGACACACACATGTATCTCAATAAGATCTACAAAAAAGTCAGTGCGGGCGAATCTGTCAAATGTACGGTTAAAGGGTTATTTCGCATTTTTTGCCGATCCGCACACATTGGAATTTCGCTAACTCCTCCGAAGGCTTTCGTTCCACCGGCACCACATTTGCTCAGGCCAATCTACACCCCATGGCCATTAAAAGTTGTACAAATCATGACGCTGCACCCCACGGTTTACGTTCTAGGGGGCGCCAAAGATAACCCAAAAATCCACAGTCTTAAAAGTCTTATAACTTTTTATTTTTGTCCTCACTGGCCTCCAAGTTCTCTAGGATGATGCAATGTCCAGCCATTGACACATTTGTGAAGGAATTTTTACTCGCCAAAAGAGCGCCCCCCCATGGCAGGAGAAAAAAGTCCATTTTTTCTTGTCTCCTAAGGCGAAAATTCACACTATTGACTGTCACGCCTTTACGCTTTGTCATATTGACACAAAAATTGACACACACATGTATCTCAATAAGATCTACAAAAAAGTCAGTGCGGGCGTATCTGTCAAATGTACGGTTAAAGGGCTATTTCGCATTTTTTGCCGATCCGCACACATTGGAATTTCGCTAACTCCTCCGAAGGCTTTCGTTCCAAAGGCACCACATTTGCTCAGGCCAATCTACACCCCATGGCCATTAAAAGTTGTACAAATCATGACGCTGCACCCCACGGTTTACGTTCTAGGGGGCGCCAAAGATAACCCAAAAATCCACAGTCTTAAAAGTCTTATAACTTTTTATTTTTGTCCTCACTGGCCTCCAAGTTCTCTAGGATGATGCAATGTCCAGCCATCAACACATTTGTGAAGGAATTTTTACTCGCCAAAAGAGCGCCCCCCCCCCATGGCAGGAGAAAAAAGTCCATTTTTTCTTGTCTCCTAAGGAGAAAATACACATTGTTGACTGTCACGCCTTTACGCTTTGTCAAAATGACACAAAATTTGACACACACATGTATCTCAATAAGATCTACGAAAAAGTCAATGCGAGCGTATCTGTTCAATGTACGGTTAAAGGGCTATTTCGCATTTTTTGCCGATTCGCACACATTGGAATGTGGCTAACTCCTCCTAAATCTTTTGTCCCATCGGCTTCAAATTTGCTCAGGTCAATCTACACCCCATGGCCATTCAAAGTTGTACAAATCATGACGCTGCACCCCACAGTTTACGTTCTAGGGGGCGCCAAAGAGGACCCAAATATCCACATTTTTAAAAGTCTTATAACTTTTTATTTTTGTCCTCACTGGCCTCCAAGTTTTCTAGGATGATGCAATGTCCAGCCATCAACACATTTGTGAAGGAATTTTTTCTCCCCAAAAGAGCGCCCCCCATGGCAGGAGAAAAAGTCAAGTTTTTCCTGCCCATCGCTCAATGGCTCAAACGCATCGCTCTCTCGGCAAAACCGAAAGGAGGAGCAACTTGCCATTTGGATATATACTAGCTGTGTTTGTGCCCTCACTCATGGTCCAGACTTTTTTCAAAAAGGACACGTAGTTTTTCTGCAGCGAGCGTTTTGGTAGAGACTGTGCCTCCCATTCATTATAATGGGAAATGACCAAAGACAGTTGCGCACACCATCTTTGGACCCTGACTGTGACGTCACAGTTTGAGATACAAATGTTATTTGACCTCTGACCTTTAGTGGAGACCCTAACCTTTCAACGCGCAAAAGCGTTGGACACACACTGGCGGGAAGAACCACAAACGCCGATGAAGGATAAGGGTCTTTGTAGTGATGGGCGTTACCAGAGAGGGCGATGGCCAGAGGAAGAGAATGGGACGGGGAGGCGATCGCGTTGGGGAGGGGGCGCGACACGGCTCGGGCCCGCCAGTGCCCCAACGGGGCCCTAGTTATTATTTTTCCTCCGCTTTAAACTGGAAAATGGCCCACTTCCCACTGGCGAAAACTCATGAAATTTGGCAGGACGACCGGGCCTGGTGAAAAATTCGATATTCTGAAGTCGCCCAAACAATAAAATGCAAAATGGCTCCATAGCGCCCCCTAAGGTGAAAATTCACACTATTGACTGTCACGCCTGTACGCTTTGTCATATTGACACAGAAATTGACACACACATGTATCTCAATAAGATCTACAAAAAAGTCAGTGCGGGCGTATCTGTAAAATGTACGGTTAAAGGGCTATTTTGCATTTTTTGCCGATTCGCACATATTGGAATTTCGCTAACTCCTCCGAAGGCTTTCGTTCCACCGGCACCACATTTGCTCAGGCCAATCTACACCCCATGGCCATTAAAAGTTATTAAAATCATGACGCTGCACCCCACGGTTAAGGTTCTAGGGGGCGCCAAAGATAACCCTAAAATCCACATATTTAAAAGTCTTATAACTTTTTATTTTTGTCCTCACTGGCCTCCAAGTTTTCTAGGATGATGCAATGTCCAGCCATCAACAAATTTGTGAAGGAATTTTTACTCCCCAAAAGAGCGCCCCCCCATGGCAGGAGAAAAAAGTCCATTTTTTCTTGTCCCCTAAGGTGAAAATACACATTGTTGAATGTCACGCCTATACGCTTTGTCAAAATGACACAAAAATTGACACACACATGTATCTCAATACGATCTACGAAAAAGTCAATGCGCGCGTATCTGTAAAATGTACGGTTAAAGGGCTATTTCGCATTTTTTGCCGATTCGCACACATTGGAATGTGGCTAACTCCTCCTAAGGCTTTCGTCCCACTGACACCAAATTTGCTCAGGCCAATCTACACCCCATGGCCATTCAAAGTTGTAAAAATCATGACGCTGCACCCCATGGTCTACGTTCTAGGGGGCGCCAAAGAGGACCCAAATATCCACATTTTTTCAAGTCTTATAACTTTTTATTTTTGTCCTCACTGGCCTCCAAGTTTTCTAGGATGATGCAATGTCCAGCCATCAACACATTTGTGAAGGAATTTTTTCTCCCCAAAAGAGCGCCCCCCATGGCAGGAGAAAAAGTCAAGTTTTTCCTGCCCATCGCTCAATGGCTCAAACGCATCGCTCTCTCGGCAAAACCGAAAGGAGGAGCAACTTGCCATTTGGATATATACTAGCTGTGTTTGTGCCCTCACTCATGGTCCAGACTTTTTTCAAAAAGGACATGGAGTTTGTCTGCAGCGAGCGTTTTGGTAGAAACTGCGCCTCCCATTCATTATAATGGTAAATGACCACAGACAAGTGCGCACACCATCTTTGGAAGTTGAGTGTGACGCGATCGGGAGGGGTAGGCGGTCGCGCTGGGGGCGGCGTGACACGGCTCGGGCCCGCCAGTGCCCCACCGGGGCCCTAGTTAGGGCCCGAGCGTAGCTGCTAAGCAGCTGCGAGAGCCCTATTATTCCCCAAGTGGTTTTTCTTTGTTTCTTTAGGGCCCGAGCGTAGCTGCTAAGCAGCTGCGAGAGCCCTCTTGTTCCTGATGGATTCTTCTTTTGTTATTATTATTATTTTTCCTCCGCTTTAAACTGGAAAATGGCCGACTTCCCACTGGCGAAAACTCATGAAATTTGGCAGGACGACCGGGCCTGGTGAAAAATTCGATATTCTGAAGTCGCCCAAACAATAAAATGCAAAATGGCTCCATAGCGCCCCCTAAGGCGAAAATTCACACTATTGACTGTCACGCCTGTACGCTTTGTCATATTGACACAAAAATTGACACACACGTGTATCTCAATACGTTCTACGAAAAAGTCAGCGCGGGCGCATCTGTGAAATGTACAGTTAGAGGGTTATTTCGCATTTTTTGCCGATCTGCACACATTGGAATTTCGCTAACTCCTCCGAAGGCATTCGTTCCACCGGCACCACATTTGCTCAGGCCAATCTACACCCCATGGCCATTAAAAGTTGTACAAATCATGACGCTGCACCCCACAGTTTACGTTCTAGGGGGCGCCAAAGATAACCCAAAAATCCACAGTCTTAAAAGTCTTATAACTTTT